AAACCCACAGTAAAATTCTTTCTGACAGGCTGTCATTTTGAAGAAAATAACGAAAGAGGGCCTTTTCAAACGAAATATCTAAAGACGCATTTTTGGAAAACTGCCATCAGCTGTTCGTTATTTCGGAGAAGCACACCCAAGCATTGACACAACATACACGAGTACGGTTTTTATAATTGTTGATTCAGTGTGCGACATCGTGCAGCTACAATCAGCTGCATGAGAATGTGTTTGGGAGGCTGATTTGTGGGGCAATTCAAATCATGACTCCTACAACCTGCAATTTGAAGTCAAAATCCTTTTTTTTCCCAAAAATATGCAGCGTTCACTGAGTAAACTTTCATCGCTGTTTGGTAACCTTCTTCACACTGTGAGTGATTTTGTTACCTCAAGTGAACATAAAGAATGACAAATGGTGGACTGTACCTTTAAAGAAGATGTGTTCTAGTGCGTGTATCAGAGGTATCAGGAATTTGGTTTAAACCGCTGATGTCAATGCAGAAAATATCCCTCCCCCCCTAAAAAAAGACTGTTTACCGACAGCCTTCATTTGAAATGAGAATTATTTAAAAACGGAGTACTATATGCATGTCAGAAGCAATACAAGGTTTTAATTAAATTACTTAGCCTCTTAATTTCTTGAGACCCAGTGGCAGTTATCATTGAATTGCTCTTGATGGAGTCACCGGGATTTAAATGGATAAACACAGCATGGCCTTTAGAACTAGATATCTGATTCAGCTGAAATGTCAACAAATGTCTGTTTGATGAGTCAGCCTGGAGTATTGAATCAATTCTCATTACATTTTTTCTTTTTCTCTCATTGCTGGGGGAAAAAATTATTTTAAAAAAAGACAGAACCCAAATTGAACTTGGACATGCACAGACAGCCGTGAGGAAAACAAATGTGATGTTCTCCAGGTTCACTGGTACCTGCAGCTTAATTGGAATTTATTCAAGGAAAAAGATAAGTTGTAGTTTATTACGTCTTTATGCCCTGCAGCCTTTACAAATTATCATTTGGCGCAGTTTCAATTTCAAGACCACCAGAAAATACAATTTAATATTCTAGCTTTCAAACATTATGAAATTCTTAAAAACCAAATCAGCCTTGCCCACTTTGTTAATTTCTTTCTCAGAAGTACCTCAATATTGTTTATGTGTGATACTGAGCGTCGACATCAAGCATCTGAACATCACAGACCACCACACTGAAATGGCTAATTTATTCGTGCTCGCTGTTTGTACACTAGCAGATTCCTGATGGCTTCTAGGGTGCTGACGGAGTACATAAATCACACCCATGATGCATTCTGGTGCAAAAAAATATAGCCCGTGAAGCAACAGTAGACAGACGGCTTCCCCTTAGTATAAACTGCACGTTCTTGGTAACCCTGCTCGCCAACCAGTTACTAAGGAGCCTTGTTTGTGTTGGCGTGTATTGCAGCACCATGCTGCATGTTTACAAGTCGTTGAGTATAAAGTGATTAAATGCCACCTTCATTCTTGTTACCTGAGAGCTCAGAGGTAGAACACAGTGGCATCAGGTAAACAACATGAGAAATGTTGGAAACCGTTGACGATCATTTTTATAGCCCTGTGAACCAACCATATGTGACAAAAATTCACCAGCACAGGAACTTCATAAATCATTATTTTAATTGCCCATTCTGTAAATAACTCAAATAATAAATCAGTCTTTGGAAATAAAATTATTTTCCAATACTTCAACACAAAAATAACTGCCCCCTTTTCCTTTGAATCGAAACAACACAGTTCATATTTGTAAAGAGCTGGGCCCAAATTCACGGTGCTGCTTACCCAAAGCGAAAAATCGGTGCTTACCATAGCAGAAAATTCTGCGCTTAAGACGAATGTACTTCACAGGTTAACTAGGAATTTTGGCTTGTGTGCATGCGTACATCCCGTAACTAAGGATTAGAGCAGAATTTTTCTGCTTGTGCAGTTAGCGCAGAATGGAGATCGTAAGCACTGAATTCTGCAGTAAGCAGCACCATGAAATTGGGTCCTGAAGAAGGGAACTTTTCCAAAAGTGATTACTTCTTTCACCTTTCCCACTTTGCTGTGGAAAAACTGTTGTTCATTACATTTCAAGTCACTCCTGTGGCAGATTGTCATATCTGACATATTTTTTATTATTAATTTTAAATTATTGCAACTTTAAGCTGAATTTACTGAATTTCATAATTTCGGATGAATACACAAGACATGCAGTTCATGATTTAATCTCTCCCAAATTACATTTCTAGTGCTTCAGCCCTTTCTTCTTCTTCGTCATATTGGAGTATTTTGGTACAAAAGGCATGGGTCACATGCTTATTTTGTTTCATTTTTCCTGGGGTTGTTTTCTTTACATTAAGATTTGTTAAATAGTTAAAGTTCTGATTCCTACTCATAATTTATGCCCTTTAGTTTCATATTCACATGGGCATTTCGTGGTGATTTGACTCTGTATTGCTAAAACCTAGATGGCTTGCTGACAAAACCTGTATTGAGTTTGGCTTCAGTTTTTTCAAGAGTTCCACATTAATTTCGCCTGATTTTCTTGGTGAATCGACAAGCTTGTGGAGGTAGCGCAATACCCATTTGGATTCCCAGGAGTGGGTTCTGACACCAAATATTTCTGACTCTTACTGATGAAGATCCTCATTAAACCAGCCACCGGGAACCGGTAAGATGATGATACAAGCCTTCTGCTCAGCCAACACATCCACAACCACCCCAGGAATGATAAATTAGCCCGGTTCCTCAGACCGACTCATCTGTTGTCTCCAGACCTGATGCCCGAGGGTAAAATGGGTGATATTTCACGGTCAAATAATCGCCCAGAGCGTGGTCCACCTTAGCAACAAAGGAATTAGTCAAGAGGGATGTGGATGCAAGCCAGAGCCTCTCTGAGCTTCATTTTTGAGTGATTTATGATTAGCCATGCTCCGTCTGCAGGCATCTTTCAGTGATGAGTAATATATATGCTGATTTACATGAAATATTTATGATGTTTGTATCCCAACTCACAAAGAGAGCACCATCTCATTGAAGAAAATATTGACTAAAGATGTTCCAGAACCAAAGAAACCATTTTCATGGAGTCAGATACTGTTTTACTAACCCCCATGGTCAGAGAATCCAGGTTTCCTATGTAGATGTATCACGCTTTGAATAAATAAATATGTAAATAATTAATTATGATTCCACCTGAATGTTATCAGGGAAAAAACATCTCTATCTGCATTCAACACATCAGGAAGCCTATGGGTATGTGAAACTGTTAATCAGAAACTGAGTTTTTACTTAATAAAAATCTTTGAATTTCTCACTGAAATTTAACTTGGTTAACTGCAGTGATATTCCTTTGTGAGCAAATGTTCTTTGAAAACATATTTTGACATCGTATCGAGTTTACAGCAAAAATTTAAAAACAAAAAGACTCAAGGATGGATTGCTGCAAAAATTGTTTTCAACACCACAAGGTCTGGTTACTACATGTAAAACTGAACTTTGGAACCTGCATTCTTAAGCATGTGGTTGTCTTGCTGACAATTATCTGCAGATGCGTGCAATTTTGCAATGAGTAACCACCGTGCTCGTACCCTCCCTCCTCTGCACAAGCACAACCCATGTGACACAAGGGTTGAGCACTGGATCTAAGATATCATAGACCTGGTCTGCTACTGGATGCAGATAGGAAAACCTGTGTCTTTTTCTGGTCTTACTGCCTGTTCTTGTTTTGGGCTGACATTTAAAACTGCGGACACATTACCATTGCAAATTAGTCAAACTATACAGGTGTTGTTTGAATACAGAGTGCAAGTTCTTGCCTCTGTCTAGCTAGGCATTTATTGAATTAATTCACTTCATTTCTCTGGCCTGGGAATCTGGGGATATATGTTTTATTGGGGGATATCATGACATTAAGAGTTTTCTATGTCAGGCGGTCAATTCTGCACACAATTTATTACTGATTTCAAGTTTATTCAAGGAGTTTCAGTTTCTCAACAACCAAGAAGCATACATTTAAACCAAATGCCAAGACCTTAGCATGGGATGAAGGTGCAAATGCCAAGACCCTTGCATGGGATGAAGGTGAAAATGTTAATCACTACTTGAATTAATTTTGATAAGAACAATTAACATAAAATTGGACTTAGCTTCAAGTTTTTCTTTTATATCGAGAGCTATTTATATAAAAATGCACATATGCAAGGTTTGCAGAGAGACAATTCTCATTGTGGCCTTTTACAGCCTAGATCTATAGATGTCAAAACTGTAATGTTCACTGTATTAGTACAGTTGTACATGTAATTTACTGACAGAATCTTAAGAAAAGTGCCTAAGTGTTATTTGACCTGAAATGGTGAGAACATTCAAAACAAGAATAATGTCACTGATACCGTTCAGAAGACAACACTCTTGATGCAGTAGAATAAGGTTTATGAATGATTTGTACATACTGCCACAGGGAAGCTTTACATCATGATGGTGACTTCACAGTGAAATCTCTTCTATTTTGGATAGGACCAACTGATAGATGAGGTTTTCATGCTGTGAATACTGGATGACCCCCTCCCCAAAAAGCCAAAAATAACATTTATTTTCTCCCCAAACAGAAATAGTTGTTTTGGTACAAAATTAATTCATATTACATTTATGTAACCTTTAAAAAATCACTTCATTTAAATGTGATGATGCATTGCAGAGATAATCACAATTATATACATGTAAGACAAGTGTGTGTTTGTTCCATCTAGTGAAATTTCATACAGTGCATGCAGTCACTGAATTCAAATCCTGAATTGTCTCACAACTGTTGGGTTCCTTCTTTCAAATTTCTTTCTAGCTGTAAATTTGATGAAACTGGTGCTTGTTTCAGAGGGCAGAGTAGGCCTATGTTAAGTAAAATTTAGCACTTTACTTTTGGGTTGCATTTGTTCAGGTGACGCCCTCTATATTGTAAATGTATTGAAACATTGAAAGATTACCTGACTTATTCTTCATCATTCTTCTGAAGTGAGCGGCCTCCTCCTTCTCCAAGATGCTGGGATCATACTTTGGAGAAGATGCACCATTTTCATTGGCAGCCATGGTGACTTATGGTGAATATTCATAAAAATATAGATCCAATATGGTTGATATGTCAATACCTGTCAATGGAAATCAAAGCACGTTTCAAAACTTATTTCCTTAAACACTCTCAGGTAGAATTTTAAGCATTTCTTTGGGACTCAGATGTTGTCCCGGAGGCATTCATTTTTTAGAATGTGTCCCGCAGAACCAAGTTCTTACACGACACTTCGAAAACTATTTCAGAATGGTAGGCCAACTTTAATTGCAGACTGAGTCACAAGGGTAGCAAGTGAACCAACTTGTGCCTCTGAATTGGTGAGAAGTTACCCCCAAACCAGGCGCCACTGAATGTGGGTCAACAGCTATAAACAGCCTCCCAAAGTAATATTTGTTTAGCAGAGTTGTCAGAAAAGGTTTCCCCTGAGGCCCCGCACAACCAAATGTGCACCCACTCCATGCTGTAGGGTGCAGAGTTCACGCAAAGTAACCCCCTAATTTGAAGAGGGAAGAAAAAAAGGCATTTCAAACAAATGACCGAATTTGGGTTACAGGTTTGGTTGTTTTAATGGACAGGCAGCGAACTGCCCTGGAATATACCACATTTGTTCAGTGGTAGTGAATTTGTTTACTTTGTAATCAATGCTTTTTATCTGTGAACTTTGAGCCCTGTTGTATTACACAAACAGAACTAGCACAATATAAAAAGTCATACATGTACATGGTGGTTGAATGTTGAAAGTAACTGTGGCAGCGCTTGCATTCAAAATTCACCCTCTGCTATAGATTTACATATGAAGAGAAGATGTATACTTCCCATTTTCCGAATGATACACATTTCAATCACCGTTTCTCATTTGCGAATTCAACCCCAAAAATTAAATGACTGAAAGTATGGCTATTGTTTTTCTGCAGTAAATGAGTGCTAACTATTGACTTAATTAAGATGCTTACATTTACCTCACAGAGCATTCCCCACATGTATCTGCATGCTATTTTTCAAACGGACTTTTTGGGGTTTTTTAACATTATTTTTTTACATTTCTTCTCAAAAAAAAAAAGAGTTCAATATGAGTGTTAATAGTCCTGTTTAAAATGAGTCATCAATCTTGTCAAAGTCGAGCATTTTGATTTTGGGTCCAACTTTAAGAGTTTCCTCCCCCCACGCATCAGTATTATCTTTTTGGAAAGAATTTCATCATGTTCATTAGCGGACAACACAAATTTTCCCTTAAAATGTTATAATAGCCGTCAGAAAGTGATAAATTTTCCTAAAAAGTGAAATTTAGCTAAGAAAATTCCTATTTACTTAGAAAACACTTGTTTGTGCTCAGGGGCATAACGTGTTGTCCGTATATGGAACTATATTCTGTATATTATATTTTCTTTTTCTCCGAACAAAATTGAAAGATATTTCCATCGAAATTGTGTCATGAAAATATATTATTCTTACCTGAAAGAAAATCGTTTGGAACGATAGAGCTCTCATTCAATTGCGTGTACACATCCCAACCTACAGCCAGCAGACGATAACTTGCATTTCACGCACGTGCTACGTGCGCGTGGATGAAAACAACCTGCTACGTCGGCACGCACTGCTCCCCCTTGTCAAACCATTTCGTCACCTACTCCTACAAAAAAACGCAAATATCGGTGGTTTTCTCGAAAGCAGGGGTCAACAAGAACCACATCCAGGCGCCCGCTTAATCCAAAAACGTCTGGTCTCGGTGGCTGACACTTGGAAATCCGTGGTTATAAGTGCCACAAAAACAAAACAAAATTCAAGAAAAATTGCATCCGTGTATATTTTATTCTCCATTCGCTCGCGCAGACGACACTTACCAATGCGCAAAAATATAGCCGGGCTTTTGTTGTCTTTTTTGTGTACGGAGAGGGCGCGCCCACTCCCCCGAAGGTTATTTATTCCTTTGTTGACATTTGATGCGAGGAAAATGATGTGGTCCAATTTTGCAGACATAGAGCTGGTTTGCATTTTCTCGTCACATTTCGACGATGGAGACAACATCTTAAAAGCACAGTTTGCAAGACTTTTTTGTGGAGTTCTACGGGGAAAATTAATTGCTTTGCTGCGATCATGAAATAGGAACCACCTGAATTTTTAAGTGATTTCGTCTCCCCGCTGCGAAATATGGTATGACCTGAATCGAAAACGCAGGCACACGACCGCGGCAAGGGCTTTGTACTGGTCACGTGACGATATCGATTAAGGTGGAATGCTGGATAATTTTCCCCCGTCCTTTTTCATCGCCCGTGTCAAATGACCCTCGGTTTGTATTTGTCATTGTCAATGAACGAAGACACCCAAAGGTTGGTGGACGACGGAGAAAATAAAAGGGTTTCAATTGAATTTCGAGGTCTACGTACAGGCCTCTGGTCTCACGGCAATAATGAAAATGCTCAGTGCATGTACATGTAATTATATGGGCCTCCATTAAAGGTTACGAGAGCGTGCCCAGTTTAGATATTTAATTATGTTCAATGGACACTACCACGACAAGTGTGTGGGTCATTGAGTATTTTGAGCAAAGTGGTCTGTATTTAGAATGCAATAATCTTAGTAACAGTTCAAACTGGATGATTTTTTCAAATGTAAACTACAGCAATATGCAGTTCATGATATCGAGATCAAACCTTGACCGGCGCGGCTAAGTACATCCTCGAATTTGTACTGAGGATTACTTTTTCGAACAATTATCTCGCAGCGGCATTTCCAATATTTGTGAGCCAGATCTGGGTGTTGATTTAGCTGATGGGGTTTAGTAAAAACAATCTGACAGAGTTTATCTAAGGTAATCGTGTTGTGAAGACGACAAAATCATTTGCAGTAGCGCTTCGCCTGCCACAAGGCAGGACCATAATTTATGTTGCACGTGGCAGTAGGCCTATAGCTAACTTAATCTGAATGCTTTTAAAAGGTGGTTAAATTAATACGGTCAAGTTCAACTTTGTGTTTATAGATTTCCCCTAAGTTCTCTGGAAACGCTGTGAGTACATTATACTCGTGAAATGTGACGCAAATTTGCACTGAAACTTTAAAAAAGGAAACCAAAAGAAAAATAGTCCACAAAATGTAATTTCGTTCGTTCTATTTGCGCTTTCATTTTTTGTCTATTTTGCCCTTTCCTTACCCTTTAAGTTTTCAGCCAGTAGAGCAAACATATCTGACAAACTCTTCAGCTTTTCTGAAGGTTACAGCAATCGTATTCATTTCTTTACTGCACGATTTCAAATGAAATAGGACCGATAATCGCAAGCGGTATTTAGTCGTGGTCGGGTGTACTGACCTTCAGTGCGAGAGAGATGCAGCAGTACAGCGCCCAAGAGGCGAGACAGCAAAATGATCATAACATAACTACATGCACTGCACTGCGACAGACTTTTTCTAGCGAAATAAAAAAGTGTCGATGATAAATGATGCTCAGCTCTGGCAGATGCGACAGGTGACATTACTGCGTCTGGTTACGCTCAGAGTATCGGTGATACAACAGTAAGGACGTGTGAGCAGAAACCCACAACTTGATAGCTAGTGAAGATGCGCATCGCACAGGCGCTGGATATGGCGTCCCGATCTTGGTCGGCGTCAGGTTAAATTGCCAGGTGTGTCGACCAAGCTCGGACAAGGGGTGGGGACATCTGTGTCACACCTCCACAGCCTAGGGTGTGGGGTAGCCAACCCCCCCCCGCTTCTGCCTTGCTATTTTCCTACACGTACTGGTCGTGTATTGCGATTCATGGACGCAGTCTGTAGGTTTCTGCACCTCACTGGTGTGGATGGAATTCCAAATCCACTCACATGTGACCCCACTTGGTCGAAAATGGGTTGCCTTGCATGGTTTGATTGCGTCTATAGCCTCAGCTCGATTTCTCACGCCAACACACAAGCAGAAATTACAATTTTAAATGTGGTTTTCAAATCATACGGTGCATTCGTTCTGCAGCTTTGGACGCGGATCACGTCCTGTACGATTTGACTGCTTCACCGAGAAGACGCCGTATGACAACCAAACCCAAGGGAGCCCAAAAAATAATAATTTCTCCAACTGCACAAATCCACAAATCAGTTCTTAATCCCCCTGAAAACGTTCTCGCAAAATAGAAAAACACCTGCTGATGTAGCCAAAACTGTGAGAACTATTTTTTTCCTTGCAACAAAGTTCGTCACTACAATCAATCGAGCCCGCGCACTGATTTTCTCTCGCGCTTGTCAACTTTCCTGACGGTCCTGCCCGACTCTTTACTTTTAAATGTAAAAAGTTCCCATTCTGTTTACCAGTGACAGGTTTGCTGATCAAAAGGACGCTGTCAAAAGGACGAACTCCTTTTCCGACGTGTGATTTGGGGCTTTGGCATGTTTGGAGTGCACTTTTTTTAAAATTAAGAAACAAAAAGATTCAGCAAGAGATATAAACGGTTGTCAAGGAGTGAACAAAAGCATTAAAACTGCACTTAATTCACTACGACTGAAAATGCGCATGCCACTATGGAGTTAAGTACATCATGAACCGAAAATGACATAAGTTACCCCTCGCACGCTTAAGAAAAGTACCCCGAGAGCGCTGGACAGGGATGGGTCGGGCTGAGACTGAATGGTAGTTTCATCATCGCCTGGGTATGCCAGATTCACTTTCGATTGGTAGTCAAGGTGGTTCGTCTGCCAAAGCCATCGGCAATAAACAACTTTTCCAATTGGTATTCTCTGGAGATTTGGGTCCCTCGATTAGGTAGGTTTTCTCCGGCCCTCAGTGTGTGACAGCGTCTGGACAACCCTCATTAAAGACGCTGTCTCCGCGCTGCTGTCAGAATCTTGGAAGGGATCGGCCGAAAGGGTGAATTGCTTTGGTTGCAAAGTGCCTCGAGCGATGGACTTTCAAATGAGATGTCGAACGAGGGGTGAACAGGAATCGTGCAAAGGTCATAACATTTAGCATTCAGAACTGTGTTTATGTCTATGCATCTTCATAAAAACACTCGAATTCTTATGTTCTCCGACATCTGGGTAGAATAGACTCCTTGAAAAGCAACGGAAAATCAATAAAATCTAATGAACTGTGTGGGTTGGCCCTTTTCAAGGTTCAACTTCAGTTTAGACGTCATAAGAGAAATGCTTAAATTAAGGAATTCTTGACATTGTGCAGCAGTGCTTTATTTTTATCAAAACAAACATATATAAGGCATCTTATGGAAACTGGAAAACCATTTTTACACAATTATGTTACATTCAAATATCATTGTTTTTAAAGCTATACAAACCGAAGCCACAACTGGACAAAAGGTAAAATATAAAATAAAAGTTTTCATTTGTAGCACAGGTGAGGATTAATTTACACTTTGTTTTATACAAACGGGAAGTCTGGACGGCTGACAAATTTCCAATTCAAAGGTTCTCCAAAAATCTCTAAATATACAAAATTATTAATTATATTTTGGTGTCAAAAGAAAAGTATATACATGTACATGTACACTAATTAAAGACTGGACGGAAAAACCAGAATTGTCCTTGTAATCATGCAACGAGAAGGAACTGACACCCACAAAGACACAAACAGTTGACGTTCTCTTCGTTGTGCCAGATAGAAAAGAACCAGATTGGAGTGGGCAGACTACAATGGTAATCTTTGGTTCCAGAGTATTCAGATATTGCTTAGTGTCTTGTGAGATACATATTTGCCATCGACAAGTTTGTAGTTTCTCAACACTACAAGTTTGCCATGCACCCATTTGTGCTACACCAGCTCCACGTAGGGGCCAACAGAAAACTTGATGCCAGTGTCTTCAAATGTGAATGGCCTAAAGAGTAGATGCATGTGTTCAAATGTATTTTCCTCTCTTTCAAAATGCAATAATCAATGTGGCTTCAAGTGTTTTTATTGGACAGTTGCATTTAAATACAAGTATTCATAAGATCATGACCAAGTTAGCCCACACCCTCAATCATACTGACACCTTAGATCTGACTTTGCTTGAGAACTGTCAATGATGAGGTCTTTAAAGATGTATTATCCGTTGACGATTTAAACATCAAATGATGACATCAAACCTGACCTCGTGATAACATTAAAAAGACAAAAGTGTTTTACCAAATGCTATTGAGACGGTTATCATAGTTCACTTAACACACAAGATATGCACACCTTAAAATTGATTTGAGGTACGATAGCGTGCTTTCATTTTTGACTTCCAAGAAATGTAATCATCCGTCTTCTCCAGACTTATTTGAAAGCTGGATACATTACATTTTTGTTCCCCAGGGTATGGATACTACATCTTTAAGACACGATCTAGGACGACAATGCACCGTTTCCCTTCAAGACATGATGGCCGAGGAGGAGGGCTCTCGTCCCTTGAGGTTCAGGAAGAGGATCATCTTGTGGTCAAAGTCGATGGGCCGGTCCTCCGGATGCTTGTAGCGGCCCGTCATGTGACCGCCCAGGTAGCGGATCAGCTCGCAGTTCTCCTCAAACTGTTGGAGTTTGCGGCGGTACTTCTTGCGGACGTAGTCCGAACTCCTGGGATTGTAAGCTGGGCGGGGAAATAAGGAAAGGCCCAATCAGGAAATACTGAATATTTCATTTTAATGTCAGTTATTTCGGAATGGAATGTACAAGGAGAATGTAATTACTTGATCAACAAAAAAAGCTCTGACATGGACTTCAGAATTCATACTAGATATCCAGTCAAGATAAAAATCTTCCAAAAGTGCTTAAAGAAAGAAAAAAAATCCATAATGCTTGCCAAAGCTGTGTTTGCAAACTGCATTCAGAGTCTCAAAATAAAGAGCATTTCTTCATAATAAAAACACAAGCACAAGACAAATATTGTAAGTACAAGAATATTATTTTACATAAATCAACTTTTCCTCCTCGTTTTCCAGTGCTACCTATCCTCTCAAAGAGGACATCTAACTTTGGGAGAAATGAAGACATTCTACAATAGGGATGTAGGGTACAATAAATGTGCTTGCTATTCAGGAGGGCTGTTCTTTTTGCCTCTAAAACCAACCAAGCGCATGATTTATTAGTGTCAGCACATAAGCAGAAAAGAAAAGAGCATAGATCAATGAACTTGCAGCGTACTACGGCTGAGAGAGAAAAAATGGGAGCACATCGTCGCTTGGGAATAGACTGCAAAGCTGTAATCCTGAGCAATTCTCACAGGAGCCAATGGCAATGTGAGTTCCCACACATAAAAAGGAATGTTTCCCACAGGCAGAGACCAAAAAAAAAAACTTGCCACGCAAGGATTACCTATGTACCCCCAGGAGATATGCGACTGTTTTACCTCTTACGCAGACTCGACTCAACTCCAAACCGAAACAGCCCAGCCCACCTGGGGGGGGGGGTTTGAGGAGAAGAGATTTAAACCCGGCACTAGCTTAGCTGCTCTTGGCAATATGTTACATTACCGAGGTTTATCGCCGGCTGGGAATTGACCCCGTGACCTTTCCATGCCCTGCGAGGAGATTGGGAGTAAAGTGGGCCCTGGATTTTTTTCCCCCTTGGCACTTGAGTCTTAACCCAGATGGAGAAGCTATCGGTTGGAACATTAGTTAGTGATCCAACAGTGCAAGGTGGTGATAGAATTTAATCTGGCAATATTTTTCTATGCGAAAATTGTCGCAGACTGACTGATGCTTGGGAAAAATACTGAATTAATTGTAAGTTGCAAGGTGACAGTTCAGTCTTTAGAGCCTTCAAACAGATCACAGAAAATATTCTGTGATCAATTTGACGGTGCAACGAAACATTTTCTGGTTTTTCTGTAAACTATGGTAAATTCATGTCAACTAATGACTTTCCCCTTTTAAAAGAGAAATGATATAAACAGTACTCAGTTACAAAGTTAACAATGACATAAGAAATGACATCTAGAACGAACCCTTCTGCACATTCGCCAGTTCAGCATGTGGATGGGTTTTTTACAACTTAAACTTAAAGGGTGGCCCAAACCTCTTGCCAAATCACCTAACTATAGCATGGTGTGAGGGCAAGTAGTGGGAATCAGTGGTGCCCAGCTTTGGGTCAGCCTGACAACCTTCCGACCAAAAGTATGCTGCTTTGTTTTACTGCACCTCTTAAATATTTACCTCATAAAATGACGGCAATTACTCGTAGAAGCCATTGTTGTTTCTGAGCTGCACGGTTCCGTGTGATATGGCAGCAGGGCTGATATAGTTTTTACGCTTTAATGTGTCTGTACTGCAGTAGTTACAAGGACTGCAACAACAGACAGCATGGTTCCGTTAAGATTGCATGCTGCAGACTACATGTCTACCAGGCAGGTTCCAGAGGTGATTTTCGGTGTTACCGGAAAACATACCGCATGGCAGCCAGCTGGATGCTCATCGCCATGATGTCATCTGGGCACATATCACGCCCCGGTTTGCTCATGAATATTTTTGAGGGTTAGCAATATTCGTCTCCATCGGAGTCGATGAGATTTTAAACTTGGGATAATTTGAACAACAGATGAAGGTTGGTTTTTGAGGAAATGCACCCTCATTCAAAATACTGTTTTTAAAATTTCATCTGCTGCTTTTGCTGGTAGTCTTGGTTATAGTGTATTGACGACAAGCTTTGCGAGAATAAAGGAAAAGGTTTGCCAAACCAAAGCACGGTATTATTACGGTTCGACTACAGCACATTTCAAGGAGTTAAATGTCCCAAGATAAGCGACTTGTAGCTTTTGTTGGAAACATCAGAGAGCTATCCAAAAATTAGAGTGAATGAGCCAGTTCGGTATATCAACAGGGCATGCTCCAAAATAAAGCACGTCTTAGATCATTTAAAGATATGTGCACATGCGAGGTCATTCCTATCACCACAGAAAGGCATGGCTTACCCTCATCTCTGAGCTGGCATGTTGCCAGGTGCTTTGCTCCCTTTTCCTTTTTGAAATACCAAATTGGCTCATTCCACTGAAATTTCCCAAAAAAGTGACTCACATTTTAGATGGTAAGCCACGTAGAGCAGCGCCGACCGCGAGGCAGACAGGAAAGGGAACTTGGGCTTGAAGCAGCCCACGGACGTAAGGGCCTTGGTGATGGCCACGGACAGCATCTGCTCCATGTAGCCCAGCATGGGCAGCGAGGTGACCAGCAGCGGGTCCTTCTTGGGCGGTAACTTGTGGGGCAGCTTCAGGTCGTAGTATTTCTCAGGGTTGCGCAGGAACTTCTGGAGTTTGGCCTCCGAGAGGAAGCAGTAGAGATTCTGGCGGTACTCCACCAGAAGGTCAGGGTTGCCGGGAATGATGGCTTCGTATCTGGGGGAAGGGGGGCAAAGGGAGGGAGATGCAAGCCTTTCAATGGAACATTCTCAAAGGATCACACCCTGGACACCTCGCACCTTGAGACTTTTGTAGGAACCCAGTTTTGTCAGCCAAGTTGCAAACTAGAAGTTCAGTCCCATTTGGCATGTTTTCTCTGTCCCAAGTTTGTTTCTGCATTCATCTTTACCTGGTTTACCTTGGTTCTTTGCTTGCTTGCTTGTCTGTCTGTGACACTTCGCCTTTGTGGAAAAATTCTGCCGCATGTACAATCGAAATGTCAAGTCCTCCAACTTTTTTGGCTAATTTGCTTCTTCCAATGTCCTCATGCTGTTTTTTGGAAACCTCCATCCCACTGCAATCTGTGCCTGTGAACATTCCCCAGCTATGCTACTCTAGGAACCTTTCTGAATACTCTACAAATCATCTGCTTTCAAGGGCAACCGACGTCACATCCTTTACACTTGATCTTTCACAAAGGCCACCAAGCTCAAATACAATCAATATGGCAGTGCTCGGTTCTTAAAGGATTTGGGTTAGTATGACGGGTTATCAAGAATGTTGTGCTAACCACAGCAAGAAAATTGTGCTATCAGGGTTCTTCACGGCGTTGATGTTCTTAAGCTGAATTGACCTATCATGGTAGAATCTCATCAATGCAGCCTGTGAAAAGCTGTCCAACTGCATGATATGCAAAATGGACCAAAAATTATCTGTGGGGCATGACTAACTCGCAAATGGCATTAAATCAATTGCTTTAAAATGCCCTAAATATCCTTGTCACCAGTTTGGGAAAGTTCACATGAGCATATAGTGTTTTTACAGGGAGAAACAAATTGCAAATATGCAATCACAATCGGTGCTCCCACCTGAGTTTGCCATCCAGGTATGTGACTGGACAGTATCCTTGCAGCTCTAGCTGCATGGGGAACATAGTCTTGACCTCCAGGGGGGACCGCCTCCGAGGCAGCAGCTCGGGGGGTGGGAGCTGCCTGGGGGCCAGCGGGGGCACAAACTGCTCGGGGACGGCCAGGAACTCCGCCAGCTTGGCCCCGTCCTCCATCTTGTAGTAGCGGCCCCGGAACTCAGCAGCAAACTCCATGGTGGGGTTGACGGAGCAGTCCACCAGCTGGCCATCCCGGGCCAGGCTGACCGGACAGTACTGGCCAAAGTCGCCCAGCCGGGCCAGGAACTCCTTGGGGGTGATGCACATCTCAGCCACAGAGGCTGCCTTGCCTGATGAAGGAAACAACACACTGTTAGCTTACTTTCAAAAGATATATTCCAGTCTATTACATTAAATAATTAAATTCAAATATGGGTCTAAACGAGCCAGCTTTGCTGATAAAAGTCTATGGTCTTCACCTCATTGCATCTGACAGAGATTGATTTCAATATTACAAAGTTACAAACTATAAATGTTGTCTTATAGCGACCACAGCTTTAACTTTACAATCCAAGTCCCTCCTCGTCACCAATCCACTTAAATTAAAACCTTGTGTGAATACCAATTCAGCCACAAAATAAGCGCAAATATCAACAGGATTTTGAATCAGAAATTAAACAATTGGAATTTGGGGTTTTGCCCTGCAATGACCAGATGTTGTAAAGTGCTTCACTCTTAGTACTTGCTGAGCCCCAAAAGCAAAATGCTATGAGCACTTTTGCTCCGGGGTTTTGAGCTTATATTAGAACTCAGAGAAGGCTCAAGTGGCCTTGGGGTGCATGTATGTACCCAATCAAAATCTGATTACTGCAGAACAAAATAGACCCTGTTAGTTCATTGTGTTCAATCACTTTTAAGCCAAAGTTCATATATACTGGTGCGATGGGAAAGCCTCTCACCTTCGGATATCCTCTGCAGGTATTCCTGGATGTGTCGGACAGTTCGCTTGCCTTCTTGGGCCGACTGGTTCCACACCCACCACTTGGAGCGCTCGCCGTCCAGCGCCACCCAGTTGCGGTGCTGCTCCTTGTACCATTCCCGCACCGCCGTGATCTCCTTCTGCCAGGCCGCGATGCGGATGGCCAGGATCTGGGCGCTGTCGTGGAGTGGCAGAACCCTGGAAAAAGAGACAGAGAACAACCGGGACCGTCAGTCATGCACTGGGACAAATTTGCCTGGGCTTACTGTAAGCAGAGAAACTTCACAAACTGGCAGAGAAACTTCACAAACTGGCAGAGAGTTCTGCAAGACTGATTAATTAGCCTACTTCCATACTTGTCGATAGGTTATGGGAACTATGCATGGGTTGAAACATGTAAATTGTGGGGACCAAAAACATTAAAGAGACGAAGTCTTTTCGCCTCAACCTGGCCCAGATGTTCCTGACATGAAATTGTCTTCTTAATGTGGCGGAGGCCTACCCTTCAAAGGAAAACAGAGCACTGCAAGGTTGGGCAACAAATGAACAAATACCAGCAACAGGACCTTGACTTAGGAGAGTACAGGTCCTTTTCCCCACATGGCTTTGACGAGAATGCAACGCTGAGTCCTCACAATAACTGAAAAAGTCCATGTGTACCTGTAACTGTAAGTCCCAATACTCAGGTTGTGTCCAAATGATATGGCTATGGCTGAAAATGATAACACATGTCTATGGGGAATGCAAGAAGCCCCAAAATTAGTGGCTTTCTCAGGCTTTCAATTCCTACTTTGCTAAAGCCATGTCCAACTCAAATAGCTGTGGCTTGGAAAAACACGTGGGTCTACTGGAAATAGCCACAGCCGCAACAGCCAGCAGCTGCCACTGGTATGTGTGTTATTTCAAGCCCTAGCCATAACTTCTGGACACAGCCCAAAAACGTGGGGAGACTTCATTCTTCACACGCCACTTGATCTGTGCTGATTGGTTTAAACATACGTAGCGCTGTATGCGCATCACACACACACGTACAAGACCACTCCCGAGCACTGTTATGTAATAACTGCCAGAATACAATGGACTTCAATGAGACTAGCACAGGGTCTTCGTGTGTTACCTGTCAGCTGAGTTCTTGTCCTTCATTCCTCTCATCATCAGCTCTCTGCTGTCCACTTGCAGCTCAATCACACAGACCGGGATAATACAGTGGTCCGTCAGGAGGTCCACCTGACGCTTGGTGACAGGGTAGCCGTCCAAAACGTAGCTGTGAGAAAGAAAGAATTTGGGTATCACAGGTTGGGTTGAAAAACAATTTATATTTTTTCCCTGGATTGAAAAAAATGGGTGAGGAAGGCCCTTATTCATGACAGTTATGTAGTTTTTTCGAAGATGACCAAACAATAAATGTGTGTCCACAGTCACTGGGGTATTAATGAACAGGTGCACCTAAAATTAACAGGTGCTCACAATGACAGGTACATCGACAATGTACAGGTGCACCTACAATGAACAGGTGCTCACAATGAACAGCTACATCAACAATGAACAAGTGCACCT